GTTTAATCTTCCTTTACAGGTCTTTGTAAATAAAGTAGTTCGTCTTTCACATAGAGAAATTCAAACCAGTTTAAATACGAATAAGTTAAAGGGGGCAATTGCTTCCTTTCTTCTTTGCTTGGCAATTTTCCAGCTTTAACTATGTCTAAGACTAACTGTAAGGGGTAATCTTTCTTAGTTTCCAGTTTCCAATCTTTTTCCAGGATTGGGTTCACTGAAAATTTAGAATTAGGTTCTATGTTAAGTACACAGAGTTCCTTTGATTTTCCCGATTGATTGATTGATTTATCTTGTGTAATTTGATAAACATCATCAATTTCTGAGTAAACCAAATATTTATCTGGGTTTTCCTTGTCTTGTTCATCTTGAGGCACCTCAGTCCTGGACAAAGCATCTGCAGCTAAATTTACTTTTCCTGGTCTTTGCATAATATCAAAATCAAAGGATGATAAATATACTAACCATCGAGCAAATATTCCCCGAGCTTCTTTCAGCCCTTTGAGGAATGTTATAGCTGAAGAGTCTGTTCTAATCAGGAATTTTTTGGGCCCGGAGTATATGTTCAAACTTCCAGAGCCCTAAGATGACAGCAAGCAGTTCTCCTTTATGAGCTGGATACTGTCTCTGAGCTGTATCAAGGGACTTGGAGAAGCAGCCGATAAATCGTTCCTTCCTGTCTTGTACTTGGGAAAGAACACCTCCTGCTGCTACTCCAGAAAAGTCAGTATCTAGGATAAAAGGTTCTGTAGATTTATAATCCGGATAAGCCCTAATTGGCTTAGTCAGGAACAGTCCCTTAAGTTGGTTTATCCTAGATATTTCATCAGGGTTTAATTCCAAGTTTTTCTCATTTCTATATTTGTTCAACGGGGCTACTACCTCAGCATATTTGGGTATAAATGCACGGTAATATGAGGTGAAACCCAGGAAACTGATTAACTCTTTCCCTGTTTTAGGAATGGGCCAGAGTTGAATCTTGGAAATGTAATCTGGAATCATTTCAACTCCTTGATGACTGACTAGATGACCCAGATAAGTGACTTGATCTCTGAAGATCTTAGTCTTGTTGAGATTGATCTTCATACCAACCTCAGCATGGATCCAAGTGACACATATGATCTAATACGGTATCTGAATATATCAAGATATCGTCGTCGAGGTATGCAATGGCGAATCCAGGAGAAAGTTTGGATAACGCCATCTGCACTAACCTACAGTAGGCACTAGGTGAATTGGACAAGCCAAAGGGCATTCTATTGAACCTGTACGTGCCAAAGGGTGAAACAAAGGTAGTGTAATCTCGACTGGCTGGGCTAATCGTCAAAGAATGAAAAGCTCCAGCCGAATCCAGTGAACTAAAGATCTTTGCTCCAGCTAACTTATGTAGGTTAGTCTCTATGCATGGAAAAGGATAAGAATCTGAAATCTGAAATCTATCGACCAACGAAGACGACCTGTCCCTTTCTTTTTACAAGGGACAAGTGCTGACGCCCAAGGAGAGACGGAAGGTTCAATAACGCCAGAAGCCAACAACTCGTCAAGTTGGATTTTCAAGTTGGATCATACAGAGTAACTAACTTGTCAGTCCGTCTGTCTAAATATTTTAAGTCCAGGGTATACCTGAAGTCCTTTTTCTTCTCCTGGTTAGAATTAGAATGAGCAATCTTTCCCATTTTTCTAGTGTATTTACCTCCACCCTTGGTTGAATATTGCGCTTTAGGTCCAAACAGTACTGGGTGTAGATCTTGTTCCTATTGGTGGAAAAGATATTACTCCTCTATTACAGACGGAGCCGGGTGTATTCCCGTCTGCTCTGCACATATTTTCCGGAGGGTAAAAGGGGGTAATAACCCTCTTAACCTTGGGTTCGATACCAAGCTAAGTCTGGCCCCATAACTTATTGCTATGGATTTGACTCAGCTCTTTGTTTTCAAATTCAGCACGTTTTCAATAGTCATTCAGCTAAAATTTTCAAATATTGAGGCCAAGCAGTTTTAGGGTTCAATATCCAATATAGCTCAACTAATGAAAATTTATTGCATTGCTCATCCCCCTGCCATCCCCCTGGGGGGGGCATCTCCTTTTGCCAGTACAACTGAATTATACTATGTACTATGTACTACATGATATGTACTATGTACTATGTACTGTATATCTTTTACATATGTATTCGGTAATATAGAATTAACAATATGTAATTAATTTCTGCTTAAGTGCATTCTATGAATCTCAAAACGCGTTTTCAGCATATTAATTGTTAATATGGCAATGTAAAGAATGCAGATAAAATTTAGTCTTGAACTAATCAACAATTTTCTAATTTTAACTGTTGTATTTAATTTCAATTTTCTACATTTCATTTATAAGAGAGGAAGGGTGGGGGGGGGGGGTTTGGAGTCCGTTACCCAATTTGTAAAGTCAGGATTTTAAAATATCTTCCAACTGCTACGAAGCGGATTTATGGCTAACTCAAACCCAAACAAGCTTTATGTTTGAAAGTTTTATTACTGTATTTCACTCTCTGTCTAATTGCCTTTCTATCCCCCAAACTTTTAAAAATATAAAGATTGAGGGGTGCAAAAAGAAGGAGGGGTGTAGGTTCTGATTTTAAGTTCTTTATTGAAATTAACTCGGATTTATTTATAAGAAAACCCAAATTAAGTTAGAATAAAGAAACACCTATAGGCTGCGCCAATTGTGGTATTCTGGGACCACATATTAGAACATCAAAACGTGTATCTTTTAAATCAACAAATAGATGAGATTTTACTTCAAGTACTTAGACTTGTATTATCTATCATCTATGTAACCTGATGACATTGCAGATCGGGTTAGTCCTTCTTGCAGGACTAGCTCCTCATGCGCCGTCTATATCTTTGCAACCTGGCATTACAATACTTCAGCTATCTCTATATATAGAGAGATAGCCTTATATGTCTGAATGCACATGCAAATCTAAACACCCAAGTAATAAAGTCATGATTACGACATAACACTTTTATTAATACATTGAATCATACATTTATAAATGCATACATAAATCACATAATGATAATGATAGTTTACATTAGCTTTAGATCCCTTGGTATTCTTAAGGTCTCTTAGCTCTATGTTTAATTGCTATCTCAGTTAGGATACCGAGTCTAGCATGTAGGACAGATATGACATGCAACCCATCTACAAGTCTCATATCTGTATCATTGTAGTTCCTTGATCAACTCGTTCCTGTATGAGCTGAAGCAGGTCCCACACTTGGTTCTCAAGCTGGTCCTTCAACCCTTTCCTGGTCAGGTTGGGGAATAGCCTGAACTCTCGCTCTATAGCCTTCCCTGTGTCCCAGATATCAACTCTGGGGACATCAGTATGCTGTGGCGAGCTTGTGTCCCTGCTAAGGGACAATACACTCTTGAGTCTATCATTCAACATTGATAGACTCTGGACTGCATCCTGGAGTACCTGCTTAGTATCCTCTTCAGTATCCTCTGGGACATCATCAATCACATCCTCATCATCTGAAGTTGGGACATCATCTGGGACCACTGGTGGTTGACCAGGGTTTGTACTCCTCTTCATGGTGCTGTTGAAGGTTTGGATCTTCTCAGATAGTTCTCCAAGGAAATCATACATATCCTTCATCAACTGGGGTATATCTTCATCATCCTGCTTCTCATCTTTGTCCTCGACAACTTCCTCAAATACATCTCCATCCTCTGAGGCCGGAGCTGTGATGATCTGTGAGTTCCCGCTTATGAAGGTATCAAGGTCTACTGGAACAACTCCTCCATCTGGTTCCAGTTCTTCTAGGTAGGCAGGGTTCCACATGATGATTGGAACCTGGTTTATCTTCTTCTATCTCGTCCGGAATGGTTCTCTCTGTAAGCTGTCTGTGCACTGTATATATCACAGGTCCCTGGACGGCTATGTGCAGTGTGACTTGTGTCTACTCTGCAGCGGTCCGGGATGTGCTGATCTCTCTGGCGTCCTGTTGGATTCAAGGGACTGTTCACTCTTATACCGAACAATCCAGAATACAACAGCAGTCTGACAGTGAAGCTTGGGAACAATTTGAAATTCAAGGAATATGCCAAAAATTGTTGACATTGAAGAATTTTGAAGTTCGACATTGTATCTTTAAACCAAGGAAATGACATCACATTCAAATCCATGCTTTCACAGTATACTGAAATTCAGGGGTAAACTATCTCACATTACATATGTGAAAGTAACAGATTAGATGTATTTAAAACTTTTTCAAATGCACTGCACTGTAAACACAAATCGGGAAAAATACAGAAACAAGTTCTGATATTTCGGGAAAAAAGTCATTCCTGCGTGAATATAGGAACCAGATTCCGATATTTCATGGAAGCATTTTCCAAAATTAAAGGAAAAGAGTTTCTCGAAGTCCAGAACCTGATTCCGTCTCAATTATTCTAAAAGAATTCAAATAGAATATTATTCCTAAAATATCGGAATTGTATTCTGATCCTAGATTTCCATTCTTAAAGTATCGGAATTGAATTCCGGTCATAATTTTCAATTCTTAAAATATCGGAATTGAATTCTGATTTTAAAGGAACTCTTTTCTTATCTTCAGAAATCTAAATTCCCATTTTCCAGTTCAGGGGTGGGTCCACTCCAGGGTCCTGGATCCTTTCCAAATCGGGTCCAGTCCAGTCCAGGATCCTGGATCCTATCCATGCCAGTCCACGGTCCAGTTCAGGGTCTGGTCCACGGTCCCGTCCATGCCAGGGTTCTGGATCCTATCCAGTCCAGGGTCCAGGATCTAGTCCAGTCCAGGTTCAGGATGAGCACTGCCCCCCTTCGCCCAAGTTATCCCATGTATTCTTTATTTAATTCATTTACTCTCTTTCTCCCTACAAGTTTTTTAGTACAAATTAAATCAACAGGTTCATTTTTATTCAAACTTAAAATTTTCTTAAAGATCAATTAAAATATATATTCTGAATTTTCTTTTAGAAACCATCTAGGTTGACCAGGTTGGCACAGCCTCAGCGAGAAACATCTAAATATAAAAAAGTTGTACCATAAAAACAGTTTTTAAATCTGGTGCTTTAGATTTTAGATGACAAATTCAGCAAAGTGCAGTGGAATAAAGGATAACAAGATAAGAATCGGTTTATTTCAAATATTTGGTTTTATAGCTCATTAGTTTTGCAGAGACATATAGTTTTTTTCCCCAAACCTGGTACCATTTTGTACATGAAAGTGACAAAGAACGTTTAATTAAATAAAAAAGATAGAAATCGTGGTTAAAAATTCAGTTCTTAGTAACGGTATAAACACAGTTTTATACCATGATAGAGAAAAAGGTAAAAACTACAAGTTTTTAGAAAATGTAACGCTGTTTATTTGAATAAAAAGAACATAGAAATCCAGAGCTGGGAACTCTTGAATAGTAGATATCGGAATTAATGCTTGATCTACTTATTTTCTTAATCTCGAGATTAAATAATGCTTGTTCTCCTCTTGTTATTATTCTCCAGATAAATTAGCCGATCGTGATTAAGGATATCGCATTCTAAAGTTAGCTCAGGTTAAAAATGCAGTAGAAATGTCATAGGAGATTATTAATTACTTCATGTTTACTAATTTAAAAAAATCAATTTTTACCTTTGATTCCCAGCTCAGATCTTCTCAGCGCTCAGCTCAGACCTGAACAACAATTTGACATAAATTTTCTGTTCTCTTAGAGGTATTACAGGGCTTTTTTTTTGTTTCTTTTAAAAGGGAATGTGGATCAAGAGGTAAGAGATAAGAAGATTGAGCCTTTTTCACTCCTTACTTATAAAAAATATTTTTAGCTCATTTCCTGACAAGATTAAGAAAAAACTTTGTCCAAAATAAATACTTGGTTGAAAAAAAATTACAATTAGGCATCGGAAACGGATCAAAAATATGAGGAAACGGACCAAAAATTTGAGGAAAATTTGAATTTCAAGGGATTTCCAAAAAATTTGAAGAATTCGCGGAAATGCCTCAAAAAACGGGTTTTTGAGGGGTTTCCGAGTATTTTTGATCCGTTTCCGTGTTGAGTCGTTTCCGTGTTGAGGCGTTTCCATGTCATCACTGACTTTGTTTTTAGAGATATCTCTCTGATTTTTGGCATGCAGGCCTGAATTGTGATCTAGTTTTTTTAATCAAAAACCAATGTGGGGGAAAAATAATTTTTCCTGCATTTTTCAGACATTTTTTTCAAAAACTTTGTGTTAGGTTCATGTGGGGTGTCAAAAGTCATCAACATCGGGTCGGGAAACTCAATTCTGAATTCTATAATGCATTTCCCCCATCTCCTTATACCATTTTCCGCCCCCATTTCCCGCATTTTCTCCCTCCTAAAGGCCAAAGAAGCCTTCTGACTTTATTACTAGAGATTTCTCTTTGATTTTTTGCATGGAGACTTGAATTGTGATCTTGTTTTTAATTCAAAAACCAAAGTGAGATAAAAATATTTTTTCCCCTAATTTTTCCCGCATTTTCCAGTCATTTTTTCAAAAACTTTGTGTTAGGCCTATGTGTGGTGTTTAAAGTCATAAACATTGGGTCAGGAAACTCAATTCTGGATTCTATCATGCATTTCCCCCTTCTCCTTGTACCATTTCCCCCCCCTTCCCGCATTTTCCCCCTCCTAAAGGCCAAAGAAGCCTTATAATAGAGATTTCTCTCTGATTTTTTGCATGGAGACCTGAATTGTGATCTAGTTTTTGAATAAAACAACAAAATGTAGGAAAAATAATTTTTCCCCTTTTTACCCCATTTTCAGACACTTTTCAAAATCTTTGTCATAGGTCCATGTGGGGTGTCTAAACTGAAATTTCCGACCAAATGTTGATGACTTTAGACCAGTGCTTAGGATCCATTTAATTTTGATGCGGATGCAGATCGTGATCCGGATCCTGGCTCTGGACTGGATAAAAATGGATTCGGATCCAAATCCGGATCCAGGTCAATTCTTTAAGATTTACTGAATTTTTTTAACAAAAAATAATTTTCAAATTTTTTGTTTTATTTTTTTTTGCTTATTTTTATCCTAAAACTTGATGAACCATTCAGAAATGAGTAAATTTTACAATCTCTCTTTTTTCAAAAGTTCAGATTTGGATTCTAGGAGTAAAAATTTTTTTTTTTGCAGTTTTTAGTTGATATTTTACCCCTTGGACTGATCCAGGAAGCCAAAATCTTGCAGATCCAAGGGATCCAGATTCTTATCACTGCTTTAGACACCCCACATGGACCTAACACAAAGCTTTTGAAAAAGTGTCTGAAAAATGCAGGAAAAAATTAAGGGAAAAATTATTTTTCCCCCACATTCGCAATTCAGGCCTGCATGTCAAAAATCAGAGAGATATCTCTAAAATAAAATTCAAAAGGCCCCCCCCCCACCCTTAGAATGGAAATGTGGACATTCTCCATTGAATTTTTGCTAAATTCTAATTTGTTACCTGCTAGAAGACACAAATAAAATGATATTCACTGTCAATTTCCGTTATACAACCGAAAAATAGATTTTGTTCTTAAACCTGTAACCAGTCGCATTAAGATATTTTTGACAAATATGAACAAAAAGGACAGAAAATAATTTTGTTTTAGTAATGACCAAAATAAAGTTGTAATATGCGACTGTTCCTAGCTAGAATGCTGTTTCCCGCAGGAAATGGCTGACTTTATTTGCAACTGGGATAAGTTCTCTCGAGTCTGAAAAATTATCATTTTAATGTTTTTAAATAAATTCATCATTATAAATATAAATATTAATCTTTACCTAACTTGCAATTTTGTTAAGTTATTTGCAAATAATTGAACAAAAACGCAAATAATGAACAAAAACGCAAACAGGGGGGGGGCGGGGGACATTCGCCTGCCCTCCAGAATTTGGAATTTTTTGTTCCTATTTTCAGAATAGCTTCTCAATAGCATGCTCAATGGAAAGAAACCCTAGTGCAAAACAGGAAAAATATCTGTCTTAATAAACTAAAATGTGTGAAAAGATAGAGTTTTTTAGTCTTTAGTCATTAATTTTGACTTTTTTTGAGTCTTTTAAGTCAAAAAAAATTTATGTATCCGCCCCTGAACGCAAATAACTGAACAAAAATGCAAATAACTGAACACAAATTGCAAATAACGGAACAAAAATTAGGTCTCATGAAATTTGTCAAAATATTTTTTTCGGGTTCTTTATGGTGTTTTTTTTCTGATATTAAATTGTTAATTCGCAACCATATCAATGATTAAAAATTTTATTTTTTGAAAGCTTGGTAATTCTCAAAGATAAGGGCGACAATTTTAAGTTTTAAACAATTTAACAATTTTATTAATATTTTGATTAAGTCAAATCTGAATTGGATAAAAATACCTCTGCAGGAAGCTCCCTTGGCAATTGTTTGCCCACTTCTTGGCCTCGAGGTATAATTCTCCCTTCCCTCGGTTGCGTGCTTGTTGAGCAGGTACACCGCGTAGTGCACGTCCTCACACTGATCCTAAGTCCCTCCAACTCCAGATGGACTCTCCTCAAACAAAATCCCCAATGGGTTACAATTTCAGTTTCAAAGCCTGAAAGTAATTAAAACTTGATTAAAAATATGTATCAGTTAAACCTGAAGGGAATTAATTTCACACTATAGAGGAAGTGTTTTCTAACGTTGTAAGGCCGGTATTTTCCTCCCTATTTTTTATCTAAAGCCGATTGAGTCTGTCCTAGAGAACAAATTCCCCCTANCCCCCCCAAGTTCCAAGGACTCAGTAACATTATGCCCATAGTCACGAATGCCTAGTTCATGAATGACTAGACACCAATATGCCTATATTTATGAAAGCCTGATAACATTATGCCTGTATTTCTGAATGCCTCACCCCCCCTCCTATCAATTTTATATATTGACCTCATATGTATCAGGATATAATTTTAAGTTGTTTAGTTAGCTGGCTTCTGCGACCTCAACTGATCGGGTCTTTCCTAGAATACAATTTTTGGACCCCCCTCCTATGAATTTTGTAAATGGACCTTATTTTCAGCAAAATTATTACTTAATTTTTAATAAATTTAGGGTTAGGTTAGGCCAAGCGCTGCAGCTAGGACAGGATAGGAGCCGAGCACCGATTCCAGGCTATAAGGGGGCCGAGCACTGCGGCTAGGACAGACAAGGGGGCCTGGTGCTGCTGCCATATGGTCAATTATATCCATGTACAAATTTGATAGGAGGGGGAGGGTCCAAAAATCGTATACTAAGAATTTACCCAGAAATCGTTCTCTAGGATACTACCAGCCGATTTAAACTTGCCAATACATTTTTTAAAATGGTGGGCAAAAAACACATTTAACTACTCTAATACATCAGATCAAAATAGGGCCACAGCTATTATATGCTATTATGGTCTGTCCTAGTGAATAGCTGCNCCCCCCCCCCTCCTATCAAGGGAAGGGGCCAAGCATTCAGAGCCGTTTGCACTTTTTTAGAAATCTTGTGAATATTGGCAAGTTAAAAACTTACACGCTCAGCAACAGTGCAGGTGTATTTGTCGACCTATGCAAATCAGCTGTACTTCACTTCTGACCTATGACAAATCCGCTGTACTACACAACCGACCTACTAGCACTTAACAGCTGCTAAATAGACTTGTGGCCGCAGCGCCCAGCCCCTTATCCAGTCCTAGCCGGAGCACTCGGCCCAGAAATCCTAACCTAGACCTCAAATATTACAAAAATTAACAACTGGCGTAGGTCCGATATTGCAGTAGGTCGGCATTAGCTATTAGGTCAGAAATTCAGTAATGGGGGATGTTGCGTATAGAAGATGTAAAATTACCTCAGCAACTCCATCTTTGAGTCAAACTTCATCATCTTAGCATTTGTCATAAACATTTCTGAAGATTTATAAATGCAAACGTATTTCTGAGAAAGTACAATAAAAGGTATAATTATGAATAGATGAAGTGCCTAGAGCTGGCTTAAAACTATTTTAAAATTTTGATAAGCGCAACTGCAGTGTAGAATTCCGATGATATAGTCATTACTCAAAAAAGATCTCATATATTGCGTTATTTATCAAACATACCCGCAATAAATTTTGAATTTATATCGTACCACTGGAAGTGTTGATTTTTTATCCAAACCGATCTTGCAAACATTAATTTAATAAGTATAAAGATTCTTTTAAATATAGTCTAGAAATTAAAAGATGTTTTACCGACTGAAAAATGAACTGTACTAGACTGGCCAGTGGCCATCTTGGATCTAATTCAGGGATGAGTTCCGTTTACTTGAAATTAAATTCCGTGAATGTCGGAATCATTTTCTTATTTTAGAATTAAATTCTTTTTATATCGGAATTGAGTTCTTATACATAAAATACAGATTCAAATTCCGATTATGACAGAATATTCTTTCTTAAATTAAGAAAATGTTTTCTGTGATGAAAAGGAATTATATTCTGAAATTAAGGAAAGGGATATCCTTGAAAGTCGGAAAATGATTCTCATTTATAGGGAACCCATTTCCATTTCCATTCCCCATGTGTGTTTACAGTGTTGTTTGAGATGCATAATGGAATCTTATGTTACAACCGTCACCCCTATGATTTATTGCATATTTGTGCACCAGTAGTGAAACTAGAGGAAGTGTTCAAGATTTGGCATGAGGTCGTGGCTGGGGGACATAGGGGCGTGACAGGAACATTAGACAAGTTTCAGAGAACATTCTTTGAAATGTCTGCATGTGAGAAAATCCGTAGGCTAGTAAATCAGTGTAAAACCTCCTGAGCTAAGGAAAGGAGTATTCAAGCCAAGAGAGGGCCTCACGTGCCTAGCACAGTGGGCAATGTAGGGGAGAAAGTATTCATAGACTTAGTCTCAATGTCAGAAACCGTGAGAAAGAATCGTTATATGTTAACAGTTCAGGATGGATTTACAAGATTTGCTAGTGCAAATCCTATTTCCAATAAGGAGGCAGGCACTGTGGCTAGAGTATTGATACATGAACATTTCAGTGTTTTTGGACTGCCAAACCAAATTCGCTCTGACAACGGAGCAGAATTTGTAAATATGTTATGGGTTGAACTATTTAGTGAATTGAAGATTTTGCATACTAAAACCCCTCCCTGCAACCCTTCATTTAATATCGTGAAAAGATGGCATAGAACAAAAGTGAGTATACTGAGAACTATGGGCAGGGAGATGCAGAGTGAATGGGACCTAGGTGTAAAAGCGGCTTGTCTGGCGTACAATACCACAGTACATGGTAGTACGGGCCAGACACCATTCTTTGCAACCATTGGGAGAGAAGCTATAGTTCCCATCCATTGGGTGTACCCAAACCTGATGCTGAGAAGGATGTATCTGCCTGGACAGAGACTATACAAGAAAGATTTCAAACTGCCTATGCTGGGATGAGAGAGAGACATCAACAGACAGTGTTGAGGAACACTCAGTACCCAGATAGCCAAATTGCGCAAAAAGAGCGCAATTTAAACGTCACTTTTCGCATTTTTACGTAAATTTTACGTATATATTTTGGCTCTTTTTACATCATGAAAGACGTACAATCGCACACTTAGCTACGCAAATTTATTTGTTTTAGTATACGTAAAATTTACGTAATAATATTAAAAAAATTTACGTCGAAAATGCGCATTATTATTTTCTCAATAACCACATGTCTGCTCTCTTTTACCAAAAATTATGCTAAATCTAAGCAAATTTGATGCATGCAGATATGCCATCTATCCCTGCAGTTGGATGGATGGATGCAGTATGTATCTCTCTCTAAACTGATTCCATTCATCAGGGAATACAGCTAATCATAGAGATTACTGCTTTTTGCTATAATTACTATGGAGTTATAAAAGTTATATAAAATTTTCTGATAAAAAATTCAGTGTATTTTCCTAATAAAAATGTTTTTTTTTTAAATTAAAAATAATTTAAAACCTAAATCTTGACTTCTAAATGAAAAACTTTTAGTAAAAAATTTAATCTGTACCTTTCTCCTTTTTTTAAATTTTACGTAAAACAAACAGAGACACCTAGCGGTAAAATTTGGTACTAAAAACCAGTGTTCTATGTAGCGCTTTAAATTCTCTGCCCAATTATTCCCCCCCTTCTCACCCTTATCTACATATCACACGGCTTTCTATATAATATAACATTGCTGTACTCTGCACAGTGCACACACACCTAGGCCACTCAATTCTTCAACATTTAAAACACTCAAAACATATGCGTAAAAAGAGCGCAATTTTTACGCAATTTTAATGCTAACAAAGACAACTTAAATTCTTTTAAAAAGTTTATTTTTTCAATTTATTTTGGAAAATGCAATATGTGCCGTATCGGAAATTTTAGATATTTCACAAATAATTTAGATTTAGAGTTTTAGGCAATTAAGCAGATTTAGCATATTTTTACGCAATTTGTATACCTGAAATAAAATGATACACATCTTCACAAATTCATGATATTTTTACTTAAAGCTGGGTTATAAAATATTTACTTTTGAAATATTAGATACTTACACTAATTTGAAATCTAGACTTACGCAAATTTGCGTTTTAATTGCGTAATTGGAGCCAAAATATTATGCGTTTACATTGTTTACGGAATTTGGATAGCTGGGTATAACGAGCCGATCCTGAACCAGTTCAACATAGGCCAGTGGGTATGGATCTTTGATCCTAGAATTATTCCAGGCAGCTGTGACAAACTCAGGTCATACTGGGCAGGGCCCTACAAGATTATAAGGTTAATGGCCCCAGTGTTGGTGGAGGTGATTGAAGTGTTTGAGCAAGGTAAACCAAGGATGTTAGCTTGGATATTCTCAAGGAATTTCAAGGGGAGAACAATGTGCATGGCCTACCCAGCGACACCCCACACCCCTCGTTTCAAGGAGGGGATGAGATTATGGAAATTCTTAGCTTGGAGTTAGATTGACCGATAACAGAAGGGATTAAGAGTAAAGAGTGGACAAGCTGAACCTGAGGAAAACAGCCACAATGAAAAATGGAGGAAAAGGGAGGGGATCAAGAGGAGATTACAAGATGAACCAACCCAGCTAACCCTGCCTCCATCCTCATGTACAATGCCAGTTGATCATCTGGAGGACAAGATACATATGCATGAGGGGGCTGGAGGAGTAAAGAGAGGGCAAACTGAGCTTGAGAAGAATCTCCATCACAATAAATGGAGAAAGTGAGAAGGGATCAAGAGGGGATTGAGAGATACTTGTGTACAATATGAGGAGTATGAAACCAGCTGGTATCAGGAGATTCAAGCCAAGAAATGCAAAGGATTGATAAACTGTATTTTGAATCACTGTGGCTGCATGGAGATATCAACAGAAAACCTGGTCGGGACAGTAAGAATTCCACCTCTTACCCCAGCTATGAGGGATCAACAGGTGGGAATGATCGCAGCCCTATCATTGCAGCCAGGACGTGCCAGTACGGCATTGGTGCAGAGCAGTCTTATCTCTCCAGATACTGGTCAGTCAACAAGGAACACAAGGAGGCATAGCAGGTCATGGAGTAGTTCTCTGTTTGTACAGGTTTAATGCTTCTGTTCATGTACCTCTCTATCACAACTACAGAGGGTTTTAAGGATTGGAGCGAACTAACTCATCAGATGTCTAAACCTGACTGCAGTCTCCAACTACATATGCCAATCCACATGATGCCAGGAAAGGAACTGTTTTCTTCCAACAAAATGGAGTGATAGTTATCAAGAAACCAAGGAGTCTGCAAAATAAGGGAGGGAGATGTTCAACAGGTCAGAGATACAAATCTAGCTGGAGTCTGTCCTAAGGGAAAGTTATCACGGCCAGAGGTTCTACACCAACAGTCTAACGTGGAAGGACTTAGAGCTAGATGTTTTCACCAAGATCAGCACAGAGTTAGAGGTGACGATGTTGTTCTGCAACTCGTTGATGTCATTCTGCCAGTATCTGTAGTGGGAAGTGTCCGCAGATATGAACATATATAGATGACAATGTTGTTCCTCAGCGCGTTGATATCACCAATGTTGCTGTTCTAGATCCAGGGTAGTTCAAGGTTAGACCCGGGGTCAACCCAAATCCAGCTGGAGTGACTGATGGCTGATGCTGGAGAAGAATGATGTTGAGATATCGAAAAGATTGCATTGAACGATAACTCTCGACACCGTCCCCCCCAGGGATTTGTAGCATTTTCTGTTGTATTGATTGGCGTTATCTTTATTATCTATGTTATCACTATATATCTTATCTATTTCAATGTTGCTCTGACCTGCCGATCTGGTCAGTTCAATTTACCTGTATGAATATAAATAAATTAGTACTATATGAACCTTTGTGTTATACGGACGAATATAGAGCCTTGAGTTTTAGCTAGAGATTGAAAGCCTTGAGTTTTGGCTAGAGATAGAGTCAGTGAGACTGTAATTAGACTCTGAGTAGAGTAATCTCGGGAGCTAGATTTATTACAAACATACTCTGGGTCAAATTGATCCAACAATGTGGCGGCAAAATACAGTTAAATATTTTCAGTTTCATAAGAAATTTTCACACATTTTATTATTGTAAATGAGCATACAGCATGGAGAATTGGGAAGAGAGAAAAAAAGTGAAGGAAAATCTATCTGTCGATCTCCATCTATCCTTCTTTCTGTCTTCAAATCTGTCTAGTATATGTCTGTAAGTCTGTCTGTCTATATATTTATCTGCCTGTCTGTTTGTCTATCTGTCTGAATATATATTTATCCATCTATCTGTCTATATGCCTATCTGTCTATCTGTCTATCTGGCTAATTGTCCAACTATTTATCATCTGTCTATCTGTTTGTCTGTCTGTCTGTCTATCTACCTATCTATCTAGCTTATTCTTCTGCAGACTGACTGCTTCCTGTGTCCTAACGCTGCATCAGAAGTGTATAATTTGCAGGGAGTGCCAAAAAAGAATGGAAATAATGCAATACTTTAAACCATATTAGTAAGTTACATCCCCCCTTAGAGAATAAGTTGAAATCCTTGTTCATAGGCCATTTTTTCAAGGCCAGCTCAGTAAAAAAATTAGATCGATAACTTCTATAGGTTGGGTGCAGGGGAGGGTTATAATGCCCATAAAAAGGTCAAAAATATTTTTTTTTGTTTAAAACAAATATTGAAGTGTGACACATGTTTCTACATCCATTTTTCAAGGGCTTTCCAAAAATATAGAATGTGGATCTGTTGCTTTCGCCATAACAAGTTTTATGCTATTTTAGATTTTTTTACATATCTGGACTTTTTACCGCCCTGTACCTAGGGATGTTAACATTTTCTTTTTTTGAAAAACGATCGTTTCGTTATGAAAACGACGACAAAAAATCGTTTTTTAAAAAAAGTTCATTTTTTAAAAATGGTCGTTTTGAAAAACGATCGTTATCAAAAATGATCATTTTCAAAACCATCGGTTTCATAAAAATCGTTGTTTTGTTAAAGATCGTTAACGACAAAGTTTCGTTAACGATTGTTAATGACGACCCTTTGTTAACAATTGTTGACGACAACCCTTCGTTAATGATTGATAACAAAGAGAGAAAACCGGCCTTAAGGGCATCTATACTTACCATTGAATAGTTTCTAAGAAAATATCAAGAAGTTTTAGCCCCCCCACAACTTTTTAACTTAATGTAAGATGTTGTAAATCTAAAACGGATTGATAATACTCGCCACTCTCGAAACAAATCCGAACAAAAGAGATTAGTGCACAAAGAACCTTACTAGTAGAAAGACTTATATACAAATATAATCTTCTACCTTAGGTCAAGTGCAGCTCCCAAACTTATATCGATTCTTAACTCAGACTATTATCATAATTTAGCCTGATAAATATATTCAACTGTGAATAGCTAGCTATAGATATTTATATTGACATAGGCAAGCAAGGCTATTTATAATTCTGTATAGCTAAACCCAATACATAGCTCCCCAGAATTAATAGCTCCACAGAGTTAATAGCTCTGCAAAGCTAATAGCTCCGCAACATTAATAGTTCCGCAAAGCTAATAGCTCCGCAAAGTTAATAGCTCCGCAAAGCTAAATAAGGTAGCTCTATAACACTAAGCAAGACCAATAGCTTAGTAAAGTTATATACAAAGATAAATAATTAATGATTGATTAGAAGTATATTAATAGCTCAGTAATTAACAATACCACAAAGGGTTAATAAAAGCTATAATGAAGATTACGACCACCCTACCCCCAGGGGGTGGTGACCATGAGGACCATGAAGATATAGTTCGGGTCCTGCCTGCTGTTGATGTGCCTGAGAGACCTGTAGATGAAGGAGGGAATGAACTGGATAGGAGAGGGCCAGGAGGAGGTGACCCCCTGACGGGGGATCCTAATGTAGATCCCCCTGACCCGGTGTGAAGTTATTTCTGGGTAAACGTTAAATAATGGTAGTAGACTCTACGCAGCAAATTTTCCACGGCATTCGCGCACAATTCTGTGAATGCATAAACAGTAAGTAAATTAAGTGAAAGTATTTCTCATATTTAAGAATAAATCATGTTTTCCTGAGCAACACACAGTAAAAATCAATTGTTTTAACATTTATAGGAATCGATATATAACAGCTTAGTTTACATGAGTTAAAATGTTAAGATTCTGATACTTGCAACTAATGAGAATTTAATGTATAGTTTTACTTCTGTACTCACATTATATATCAGCATATAGTGTATATTTTAAGTGTTTAAATATAATTTCTAATTTTGAAATTTCAGTTAAAATATCATAATTCTGTTGTGCGCATTGCCGTAAACTGCAAAAGTATGCGCGAATGCCGCGGAAAATTGGCTGCGTAGAATCTACTACCTTTATTTAACGTTTACCCAGAAATAACGCCACACCGGAGGATAAGCCTGAGGATGCAGATGAGGATGACCTCCTATGGATGAGACTGGGCCTCCAGCCAGACAGAGGCCGGATAGATGTAGTTATCAGTAACTGGAGAAGGATCGAGGGTCAGATAGATGTTGCCTACCAGAGCCTACATCAATTGATTAAAGATGCATCTCAGGGGCATAGGAGGATATCTAGGGAGGAACGCTATCTGAGGATGGAGGTGGAACTGATGACCCACATGTCCTTGCTGATGTTGAGAAGGGCGGAGCTCCTGATGTCGGTTGAGACCGAGGTGGATCCGAATGCTGAATATTAATCTCCTAAATATAAATATACAATTATTACAATTATTGAATTAATAAATGTGAACTAAGAGAGTTAATTATTGCGTTTAAAATTCTGCTGTAGACCAAATAAAACTTGGGGTTTACAACAGAATTTTTGGCGCAGTCGTCGTTTAAGTTAACTTTTGTGCATTTGGTTTTTGACAGTCAAGAAAATCAAGTGTAAGTAACTTTGTAATTATCGAACACGCTCAAATATTAGTTAATAATCCAACCTTAACTAAAATTATCATTATATAAACGACTAAAATAAAATGCAATAATAATTAACCGTAAACCTAAAATAATGGACACAAAACCGTTATTTTAGAATTATATCCATTGTTAATTGCTCTCTAAAATGAAAAATAGTTCATCTTAAATTAAAGAATTATATTTTAAGAATATGTAATCCCAAACATATCTTAAAATAAATTTTTAAAAAAATCTAAAATCATTTCAATAAAATAATTAATTAAATACGTTAAGATATTATGATTCTGCAAAAATTTGATTATACAATTATCTACTCAAATTGATGATTAGCAATTAAATTTTGAAACAGTTAAATTTGCAAAGGTATAAGAAACCTTGAATCAGAACGGTGCTATGGAAAGGCCTCAACACGGAATCGGACCCAAAAAAAACGGAAACCTCCCCAAAATGAATTTTTTTGAGGCGTGTCCTGTTTTTTCAAAAATTATCGGAAATCCCTCAAATCCAATTTTTAGAGGAATTTCCCGTTTTTTTTTATCGGTTTCCTCGATTTTTAGGTCGGATTCCGGATCAGGGTCTTATATTGTTGAGGGATTTCCCAATATTTTTGAGGGATTTCCCAATATTTTCGATCCGTTTCCTCATTTTTTGGGTCCGTTTCCGGTTTTCAAAAAAAGTTTTAAATTCTCAGTTTGTTGATCAGTTTCCTCTTTTTTTGGGTCAGTTTCCTCTTTTTTTGGGTCCGTTTCCGGTTTTCAAAAAAAGTTTCAAATTCTTAGTTTGTTGATCGGTTTCCTCTTTTTTGGGTCCGTTTCCTCTTTTTTTTGGGTCTGTTTCCGGTTTTCAGAAAAAGTTTTAAATTCTCAGTTTGTTGATCGGTTTCCTCTTTTTTTTGGGTCCGTTTCCTTTTTTTTCGGGTCGGTTTCCGGTTTTCAAAAAAAGTTGTAAATTCTCAGTAATTGTTGATCGGTTTCCTATTTTTGGGTCCGTTTCCTCTTTTTTTGGGTCCATTTCCGGTTTTCGGAAAAGTTTTAAATTCTCAGTTTGTTGATCAGTTTCCTCTTTTTTTGGGTCCGTTTCCTCTTTTTTTGGGTCCGTTTCCGGTTTTCAGAAAAAGTTTTAAATTCTCAGTTTGTTGATTGGTTTCCTCTTTTTTTGGGGCCGTTTCCTCATTTTTTGGGTCAGTTTCGGGTTTTCAAAAAAAGTTTTAAATTCTCAGTTTGTTGATCAGTTTCCCCTTTTTTTAGGTCTGTTTCCGGTTTTCAAAAAAGAATTTTAAAATCTCATTCTGTTTCAAAAAAAGAGGAAACCAATCAACAAACTGAGAATTTAAAACTTTTTCTGAAAATCGGAAACGGACCCAAAAAAAGAGGAAACGGGCCCAAAAAAAGGGGAAACCGATAAACAAACTGAGAGTTTAAAACTTTTTCTGAAAATCGGAAACGGACCCAAAAAAAAGAGGAAACGGACCCAAAAAAACGGGAAACGAATCAAATGTAAATATAGCGGAAACCGACCCAAAATATTCGGAAATCATTCTACACTTTCTGTTTTTTGAGGGATTTCCGATAATTCTTGGAAAAAGAAGGAAACGGACCCAAACTCCCCTTTGGGTCCGTTTCCGTGTTGAGGCGTTTCCGTGTTGAGGCGTTTCCATAGCACCATCAGAACTTACACCCCCACCCTTTTTCCCCTTCCACAGTTTAAACTGTTTGAAAAGCTTTGGGGGGTAAAATAAGGGTAAAACAAGCAATGAGGTCTGTGCACACCCTTGAGCCAGCTTGAAAATCTTTAAAACATTTTAAACCTAAATGCAGATTCATGTTATGACTATGAAACTCTAAAGTTTGAAAATCGAATCACAATACAAACTATACAACTGACTTTGCAAAATAAAACCCCCCCCCTTTCTCCTCTTCTTAATGTAACGTACAAAGAATATTCCAGACTACAAGCTAAAATAAAAAAATAAAACTGTTGCTAAGACAGACTTGAGAAAAGGCCTTTGGAAAAAAACCTAACATTAATTGATAACACTTGAATTTTAACCCTATTCCCGCTGGGGGGGGGTCAATTTGACCCCCCCCTGTAGTTTTCTTTACATAACTCAAAAAGTATTGGTCTGAGGCTGTTGAAATTTTCTGACTTTTCTTACATACCCAAAGCCCTCCCTTTAGGCCTAAAACCAGGCTTTAATACTAACTGCCTGAGTCCTCAGGCACACTGCCTGAATGACTGCTTTTGCCTGTAGCAAACTAAATCTTTGTTTTGACCCACTTTCACTTGTCAGATTTTGATAAAATTTAGCTTTTTGGAAAGCCTATGACATAAGGAAACGGATTGCCCAAGTTTTGCGAAAAAAAAATTGCAAATTTTTTGCAAACAACCTGTCAAAGAAAATTTGCACATTTTTAGTTTTTCTTGATTAAAAATCAGGTTATTTAAAATTTTGCAAAAATTTTTGCATATTTAAAATGGCATGGTCAAGGGCTTTTCAAAAATGTATAATTTGTCATTTTTTGGACAAATTTTTTTTTGCAAACATTTTTACTATAAAACTGGATTTTGCGATAAAAAAATTTTCGCAAATTTGCAAATTTTTTTGCAGATTCTAAAAGTAGAGCACAAGAGCTTTCTAATGATGTATCATTTGTCATATTTGGACATAAACCATGGGATTTAGAGGGGGGGGTCAAATTGACCCCCCCCCAGCGTATACTGGTTTTCAAGTACCCCAGCGGGGATAGGGTTAACCATATATATGGAAAGATTGTTAAATTTAATATCATTATTACCTGCATTCCTGACTTCATGTTTCCTGAGATGATTTGTTTGTTGAATTCAATAATTCTTCTCTGAACCAGATCCCGGATCCGCTGGTTAAGATCCTCTAATCCATCAATCTAGGATTATAATATGAATAATGAATGAATGAATAAAATTGTCGCTCATTGTCCGAATCTAACATATTTCATGAATGTTGATTACTTGGAATATGCACCCCAACCATATTCTAATTTTAGAAATCTAAAAAAATACATTTTAATGTTTTCTTTTATAAATAATTCAAAACATTTTATCATTAGTTAAACCTCTCTTTTAAAATATATACTCCCAAACATATCCTTGAAAGAAAGTTCATTTTATGTTTTAAATTGAAAATAAATCTGAATCCAAGTTTAAGTGAAGAATTTATAATCTGGAAAAAAACTGTTTTATTTATTTAAAATATGATACCCAAAAACATATTTTGAATTTAAAATATAAAATTTAAAAGATAAAATTTCGAGATAAATACAATATTATCTAAATGTTATTGGCCTGCTTAAATTTTGTACTCGAACAAGCGGCTAAAGAAAAAAGTTATTTTTACAAATTGAAAAAATCAATATCTAATTGTTGGGATTTTTAGAATCAAGTCTTATTTCAGAATATGCATTTAAACATATTTTATCATAAAACTGCTTGGAATGTGTAAACGTCTGTGCATATTCTGATTCTGAAAATGTTAATATTATAATTCAGATATAAAAATCTTTTATAATTCAGAATGATTGTGAGGTTTTGTTTGAAAGTTTTGTGTTGCAATGATGTGTAGACGTAAACACAGTTGCAAGATTGCGAAATTGCAAAGTTATAAAAACAAAACTTGAAATATTGAAACTATGAATCAGCGCTACCTAATCTTAATTATTAAGATCATTAAACAAAATCAACTAATTAGAACGTTAAAATTAACACCTTAGCAACCAACCTAACCAAGGGTTGAATATAAATCCAGAGCCAGTATTGGTCCTAAGAATCAAACAATATGGGCGGGGCAAATGGGAGCAAAGAAAACTCTCCGCACATACACCAGGGCAGACCCGGAGCTTAAGACGCGGTACCAGAGCTCTACGCACGTACTCAAGAAATGCAAAAATCTTAAGCCCTTGCTACAATCCATAGTTAACAGGGAAAATGAGAAGGAACATTCAGTCAAGCTTTAAATCCTCAAGGAGCAAGACCTAATTTGCTCTGAGTGGACTTCAGAATCAAACTCAACATTGTATTGTATTAAATAGACATGCATACCTGTGTCCTTACTCAAACATTGGACCAAGTTAGATGTCTATCCTCATCCTATAACAAAATAATAATTAAAACATATTTAACAAATCATAAACGAAGTTGAATTTTCATTACAGACTTTAAATAATTCTTAAGTCCTAAAGTCCTGAACCTAGGCAGATAAAAGTCTAACATTTGATCTATTAAATAATAATAAAAATATAATAAACACCAGAGAATCCCAACTTTAGGTTTATTAGTTTTTACACATAATGCCCAGGACAAATGATAACGTATAAGGGGCCGAAGGCGGAGAAGAACCAGATAGGCTTACCCCTCTAAACCCAGATCAGCTGGATTTACAGTTTAGAACCCCTGAGATGGAGACTACATCTCCATCAGAAAATACAGGAACCATTGACCCGGCTCTTAATGCACCTATAAATAGGCTGAGCACAACCTATAATCCTAACAGAGGTTCTCCTAGGACAGCTAGTACTGGACCTGGGGCAATTCCCAAACGCGGAAATCAAACCAATGTTTCCGTGAATGCGAGAAATGTCCCCCAGCCCACATCCGGATCCGAGTTCCCTATGATTGATATATCCTCCAAGGAGGGGAAATATTCAATTTTAGACTAAATACCACGAGCCCCGGGGTATGACAGGGAAAGGGGGATTGGCAGATATATCCCAGACAGCAATGAAATCCTTTTCTCCAAGATGAAATGGAGTTTCAATGGTGAAGATCCGTTTGAAGATTTCTTAATCAGGTTAGGGGGATATGCTCGAACTCTAGATGTAAGAGATGTTTGTTTCAATAACACACTGTTTCAAGCATTCCGCCCCCCCTGTTCATTCGTGGTTTCCGATATGGAACCATCTATGGAACCCTACCGTGACATGTCAAGGAAAAGTTATGCCGAAGCTTTACATGAACGCCTTGAGCCCGCCACCAAATTGATTTATACCCAATATAAGGAGAGGTCACAAAAACCAAATGAAGTTTTTGACCTCTACCTTCGGGATAAATATAACTTGTTTGTGAGGTCGTTCCCTCAAGGAAAAACAAGGATTTTCAAGGATTTTACTGAAGAAGCCATCAGGGGTCTCCATAATGAATTACTGAAAATAAAGATCCGAGATTTCATCTCTATCCAACATCTTGCCGGAGTCAGGATAGAAACTTGCGATGCTTTGCGGAAAATAGTGCAAATAAGCGTCGAAAACATACAGTCTAGAGCCATAGCTGGAGAATCAGACACGGCAGATATCGCCGGGACGGATATCCGCCTCATGAATTATAGTTATGTCAACACTAGTTCATCCAAGGATAGGAAGACTAGATATGAAATAAATGTAATGGACGAGAACGAAGAACGGGATAACATTAATGAATTCAGGAATTTCCAAAAGTTTAAGAAATATAATGCAAAAATGCAGGATAACCAGTTTGCTAATACTGGAAGGCAACCCACAGAGGCCAACGTTTGTTACTCCTGTGGCAATAAAGGTCACTTTAGTAGGAATTGCCCTAGAAAGAATTTACCCGGACAGGGCATCCACAAAGTAGACAAGGCTGAACCCAATGATGAAAAGAACAGTTCAGATCACTCTGGCTCCGAGTCCGATCTAGAAATGAATTATGTCAATTACAAAAGGAAAGACAAGACTAAGCTCGCGTCTAAAAGGAAAGATCGTAATATCCACAATGTTGTAGGTAGACATGATGATCAAATCAAAATGATCAACTCCAAACTGTCTGAAATATTGTCTGTACTGTCCACAAAAAATCCTAATGATGTCAACATCATGACGGACGACCAAGGATTCCCAAGGGATGTGAATGACATTTCAAAAGATCATGATGATGATATTTTTAATTTTTTATGAAAAACTCATTATATCTCCAGAACAAAAATACAAAGTCCGGAACATATCTGTCGCTGGGGTACATTAGAGCTTTAAAAAAGAATACCAAAACATTCATTAAAGCTCTAGTTGACTCCGGCAATCTCTTTGGAGATATAATGAGTGAAAAATTAGCGAAAATTTTAAAACTTCAAATTAAACCTTGTAATAGCAAAGCTGGCACAGCAGTATCCAACCAAAAAGTACATGTGCTTGGCAAAGTTGACCCATTCGAATTAGTTTTATAAGGATTGAAAGACCCAATTGTAATTTCTCTTTTCATTATACGTAATTTAAGCCATGATCTTAACCTCGGAGAATCATTTTTGAGAAAATATAAAGCTGAGCTAAAATTTGAAGGGTCCAAAGTGACCCTTAACATAAATGGTCAAAAATTAGAACTAGTTAACAGAAATACACCGTTAATTAGAAACTCTAATGATGAAAGATTTATTAAAATCATGGCTCATGATAAAATTAAACGAACCCAATCAATCAATGAATCACAACCAAGTAATGGTATAATAATCGAAACAATCGGATTTGCAGCTTCAACCGCAAAGAAAGTTATAATAAAAAAGAACTCCTTATCATTTTTAGCTGTGAATTCTAAAATAGAAACAGAAATTGGATACTTTCAATCCAAAGAAAACTCCCATTTTCTAAACTCAAATAATCTACTGCTTTTGAATGGACTAATTAAATGTAGCAAAGAGATAACTTTAATTCCCTGTCTGAACTTGGGGGATAAAGATGTAAAAATTCCGTCAAAAGTTAGAATAGGAAAAATTTATTGTTGTTCTTATGCTAAATTAAGTGAAATTAACACCTTAAATCTTAAACAGGTGTCAGAATTATCCAAAGCTGAAATACAAGAGCGAAGGAGATTCCTCAAAGAGGAACTAAATGTCAAAGATATGATAGTAGGGAAGGAAGTGCAAGAATAGGTTATTGACCTATTTATGAAATACTTTGATGCCGTATCAATTAGTCCAGATGACTTTGGTTCAAGTTCCTTAATTCAATTTCATATTACCTTGCTTCCTGGAGCTAACCCCATACGCTCTAAATGTCGTCCTTTGAATCCATTTCAGGAACAAGATCTTGACCGTCAACTCAAAGAATGGCTCTCAGCCGGAGTAATCTAACCCTCCGTGTCCCCTTGGGCAGCTGCTCTGGTTCCCTGCAAGAAAAAAGGAAATTTTCGCGGGGTAAATAAATTGACGTTCAAAGACAGGTACCCGCTACCTAATGTTGAGTCAAATTTACATAAATTAGCCGGAGCAAAGGTTTTTAATTCATTAGACTCTGCCAGCGCATTCCATTCGCTCCAATATCCCCCGAGAGCAGGGATTACACTACTTTCACAAGTCCCTTTGGAACATTCCGGTTCAAAAGAATGCCCTTTGGGTTAAGTAACAGCCCAAGTGCATATTGTAGACTAGTACAGCTAGCTCTAGAAAGACTTCCCCCTGGATTCGCTGTCGCATATTTAGACGACATACTCATCTACTCAAATGATGAGAAAGACCACCTATATCATTTAGGTGAAATATTAAGAACACATGCTGAAGGTGGCATGAAAGTTAATATAAAAAAATGTAAAATATTTAGATCCAAAGTAACTTACCTGGGGCATAATGTCTCCCAGAAGGGAGTAGAGATGGTCAAAGAATATGTTGACAAAATTAAAGCATGGCCCATTCCTAAAACAGGAAAAGAATTGATTAGTTTCTTAGGTTTCACTTCATATTATAGGGCATTCATCCCTCAATATGCTGAAGTAGTAGCCCCCCTTAATAAGTATAGAAACGAAAAAAGTCTAGAGTTAAACCCAGATGAGATCAAAAGGATTGACAAATTAAAAGAGCTGTTTTTAGTAAGACCTGTCCACGCTTATCCGGATTATAATTCCCCTGAGCCTTTTATTTTAGACATTGATTTTTATGGAGTAGCCGCAGGGGGAGTTTTATCCCAGACACAAGGGGGAAATGAAAAGTTTATAGGTTGCTTCTCAAAGTCCCTCGACACAGCACAATCTAAATACCCCGCCCACAAAGGGGAACTTTTAGCAGTAATTCTGGGCTTAAAGAAATTTGAACATATCCTTAGAGCCAGAAAATTCTTAATACGGACAGATTCGTCAGCCATAACTTTTATTCAAGGGTTAAAAGAAGCCCGCGGAATATTTGCACACTGGCTTATATATTTGTCTTCATTTGATTTCGATATAATACACAGACCAGGGAAAACTAATAAAGCGGCAGACACTTAATCCAGGACCATTATGCCACAAAATGATCAAGATAAAGAAAATCCTGATGACTATCTGGTATTCCCTGATATAGACAATGTTTATCATGTAGACACTGAAATCTCTCAATCAACCAACCAATCCGTAGACAAAGTTTGGATCAATGCCAACCAGACTTGTATTACAGGAGATAGATTAAATACATGGATAATGAAAACCAAAAAAGATTATCCTTTGCATTTAACTATAGAGTATGTCAAGAAAGGAAAAATGCCAGACTTAGATGAAAGAAAGAATCTGCCCCCTGTAACAAATCTGTATCTTAAATGGTTCCCTTTATTGTACATTAAAGATGAATTGCTGTACATAAACAAGCCAACACGCGAAGGCGAAGTTAAAACACCCAGTGTATGTGTCCCAAGAACTTTACAAAAAGACCTTATAAAATATGCACATCAGGGTCATAGAGGGATATCTGAAACCTTGGAAAAAATAAGATGAAGGGCATTTTTCCCAAATATGAATGAACTAGTCTCTCTTATGATCAATAATTGCGTCCCATGCTTACAGAAAAGTAATGCTATTCCTAATACTAAAGAAAGTATTCAACACCATGAGTCGTTAAGCCACCCCATGCAACGCGTCTACTAAGATACTATGGGACAGTTTACCCCATGTAGATATCGAGGTTTATCATGTAAACACATTCTTACAATATTAGATGGATTTTCTAGGTATTTCATTGCCATCCCATTGCCAGACCTAGAAGCAAAAACAATACTAGAAGCATTGGTAAATAAATTTATACTAGTGCACGGGGTGCCCGAATGCATCCGTACTGACAGTTGAAGTAGTTAAATGTCTCACTTGTTCCAAGACTCGTGTAAACAAATGAATAGAAAAATAACACAGACTCCAGTATACTCCCCCCAGGGTAACAGGGTTGAAAGGTCACACAGGACAC